CCATGATTGACATTTAAAAGCACAATCTAATACATATTTTAAATTGACTATATCAGTCAGGGGACTTACTTAAATGAGTGATTTTCTAAATCACTGATTCAAGTAACATTATGTCCATAAAGGTTGGAAGTAAGAGTTGTCTTTCTTTAATAATCACCTATTTAAGTAGTACAAATTAATCACTAAACTAAGTGATTTAATTTTATTGTAGCTTTAAATATAGAATAATAATGATCCAGGGACTAATTATGTTGCTAGAATTATCAGAACCAACATCTGTGTTGATAGGATGACCAGGTCATGTCAGGTGATGACCTTGTACTAAATCTAGGATAATGACATAAAAAACACTTGTTTAAGTATCATACCTTAATTTCCTTCCAAAAAATCACTTCTTTAAGTATCATTATTTTAAGATGAAACCTTGAATTTTACAGAAAAAATAATCCCACTGCTGGGAAAAATCTGTTAAGAAAGTATCAGTTCATTATGTAAAGCCATTTTTAAAGCATTTTTTCAACTAAAATAGAATTTGCAGCCAAATGATTGTATCAAAGGCATAAACCTTGCTGCTTAAAAGAAGCAAAAAGTTCATTTTTTTCAATTTTACTAATGAAAAGATATTATCTAAACATATGTGTTTAAAATTTTGGTAAAACTACAAAATCACAATTTGTGACAAAACTTCGAATTTGCTACTTAAATAAGTGATTTGAAAATCACTTATTTCAATAAGTCCCCTGACTGCATATAAAGTTATATTAAAGGAACACAACTAAGGAACGGTAAGAGTGACACTACCCAACTTTTTACTTGATCTGAGTTTTGTTGTAATAAGTAATGTGTATAACATGTATAAGTTTCATAACATTTGGATGTCAGAGGCAACCTAAAGTTAGAGAATGGAAACAAAAAATTCAGCAATTTTTCCATTTGTAAAGGGGCATAGTTCTAGAACAATAAAAGTGACACCACCAAAAAAAATCAAATTTGATCTGTGTTCGTTGGTAATAAGCATTTTGTATACGTTTCATAACATTTGGTCGAGGCAAACTGAAGTTAGAGAATGGAAACCAATTTTGGGACGTACATGTACGTACAGACAGACAAGGGTAAAACTTAATGCCCCCTCCACTACGGCGTAAAAAAAAGAAGAATTTGTGGCAACAATACTGAGCAAACAAAATAAAATTACATGCACAGCAAGTGTAAATAGTGATTTTGTTTTTATATGTTGAATACAGGCTTTTCAGGGCATGCTGTTTCGCTGCCAGGGACAAGTTATTTCTCTCCCTAAAAATTCTGAAATGCAGCTGAGCTACATTTGTACTCCTCGTCAACCAAATTATGCTGAGGTGTCTTGTACCTTATTTGGAATATGGAATACATAAATTTTGTATTTAAAAATACTAAGCACAAAACAATAATGAATTTTTCAACTCAAATGTATGTGTTATTTGGTAAACAAGATAAGCCCTACGTGTATGTTTAAACCTGATACTTGATGTTATGAAATTTTTTAAACCTAAGAGAGACGGGTGGGGGGGAGTTTAATCGTAAACAAATTGTGATCAAGACAAATCCATCAATAAAATGTTTACAAATTAGGCCATTCATATTCTCAAAAAAACAAACGAAACCATCGAACCCCATTAGGGGACGACCATTTGATATTCTGGGGGGGGCCAGGAGGATTTTGAAAATAAATAACTCAGCCTTGATAATCACAAAAATAAATGGTTTGTTCTGTGGTAGTTTGAAAATAAATAACCTGACTTGCAATGTATTAAAAATAAATAACTCGGCAGGTCTATTTGAGAGCACGAGATTGCACCAGATTCTTCATAAAATTCAACTTTTTTTTCAAAAAAAATCGGGAATCACTTCCCAAATCTTTGATTAATAAAAGTATAAATATTATTTAAAAAACTTGAAATGTCTGAAAAATGGGTTTCATTTAACTTGAGGTATATTGTCTCAGGAACACTTAACTCACTTTTATTACATATGGCAGTAACTACATTCAGGCAAATGCCTCATGTAGGAAATTTCAAAACCAAAAGCTTGTCTTCATATCAAATTGTTTTCACGGCAAGTGTCTTGTAAGAAGCAAGTTCTGTTCTCCCTCAGACGTAGCTCCTGTTTTTTGGGGATCAATGTTTCTTATTTATTTGTCTTTTGTTCATTGATTGCCCTTCTGTATTCTGTTAGTGTTGCATTCCTTTTGTAATTTAGTAATTTTGTTATTAACTTGATCAAGAGTTTAAAAAAAAACAGCAGCCACATACTTAACTATGTGAATTAAATTTTTGCTTTATATTTGTCTTTTGATGTTGTTCCTAAAAACTTAAGTCTTACACTGAATCTATACATGTTGCTTTGAGACCAAAATATTGTCAAAAAATGATTAAAACAGAACTTTCATTTTCAGATTAAGAAAGGGTATGGGAAACACATTTTGCATCATTAGTTCTATAGCAACATGGGGCCTTCAGCGGCTCCAAAACCCTTCAAATTTTTTTAGCCTCGCTCCGCTCGGCATAAATGATTTGCAATACTTTTAAAAGACACTAGTTACAGCCAAACTTTAATATCTTGTATGTATGCAATACATGTATATGCAGTTGGGAATTCAGAAGATTCATTTCTACAGATGATGATGATTAATTCTGATTAAATGGTACATAATGATTGGACTATTCATGTATTATTTATAATAAAAAATGAATTTAAAAATTGTATGTTTTCAAATATTATAAATATAGTTGTGAAAATAAATAATCAGTCCCTTGCTTTAATGAAAATGAAAAATCTTGCTTCAACAGTGCAGAAAATGGATAATCTGTCCTCTTAGTTTACAAAAATAAATAACCGATCAAAAACAAATCCTCCTGGCCCCCCCCAGAATATCAAATGGTCGTCCCCTTAGCGGGTGGACAGGGGTAAGGGAACATGGGAATGAGGGATCAAGAAGTGAGAAAAGGGGGTATTATGTGCATGTCCGTTAGTAAGCCTGGTCTGAAGTGAAAATAAAAGTAACTAATTTGGTAGAAGTAAATCTTATGAAGATTATAAATAGAAACACCCTTTGATCTCGTGTGAGTCACTTTATTTTCAAACAATAAAAATAAACTTAATATATCTTTATTTTATTGTGTTATAGAACTATACTAACAAAAGCATGATTTAGATTAAAGGAAGGGTACAAACAGACTCAGGGTGCAAATGTAAAAGGGATGAACGTGAATTGGAGCGAACATGATTTTGGGTGAAAAGACAAGAATCCGAAAAGAGGGGGGATGAATAATCTGGGAAATATATTTTGCCATTTTTTTGTCTGGGAGCAAGGGGGATGAAAGTAGAAGTTAGGGGAGAAAATTTTTAGAGTCAAAGGGAAGAGAAATAGAGGTGCGGATGGGGAGTGGGAATCATGTTGGACTACATGATCCCCTGGCCCTGTCCGAGGGAAGTTATGGGGTACACCATTTTACTAGTCATTATAGACGTTAACGATAAATATTTTACTCCATTTGACCCTAACGTGGCTACAAAATTAGATTTTACGAATGACGATATAAAATCAAGTCTCATTTGACGCTAAAGGTAGATGCTGAAAATGACCATCCCCTCCACTTTGACTGTTTGACACTGATATTTTTCAAAACAGGCTATACATGTTCAAAACTTGCCAGTTAACATGTTAAGGGTCAAGTAAACACAAACATAAGATACCAGCCATAACGATTATACATAGAACAGAAATTTAGCCCATGCAAGGTTTCAGCCGCAGTGATTTTCTACGTAGCGAGTACTTTGAGATAACCCCCCACTTTGTATTTTTCGTAATACTGATAACATTTGGTTGTCTAATATATTAAAATCTATGTTTTCTTATGTAATGACTCTACCTTTATCGTTGACTATTCGCCAATATGTCTGTTATTCATGCACATGGTCGTATTTATCAGTGCAGTATGCTGCTCAGCAATGGCGATCCTGAAATTTCTGTTGTCCGATTATGGCGCCAAATTACAGGGAAGCAACTCGCGCCAGAAAAAATTACCGTATTTCACCAAAATAATCAAAATTTCGCTTTTTTATAACAAATAGTAAAATGTTAATCACATTTATATTCTGCTGTGGTTCAATGATATAATTACAAACATTATTTTATTTAAAGACATCAATAAAAATTCACAAGAAAGTAATTAATGGAGTGCACTGAAATCAGACCTCATGGGGTAGAGGGGTTAAACAAAAGCTCGTAACTTTTTTAAAAGCCTGGTGACCCCCATTTTATTTTACCTTAAAATGCTCGAAAAGTTCATAGCTTTGACATATCCGTTTTTAAAAAAAATCTACCGGGGAAATTTTACGAAAAATCGATTTAACCAATATTTTTAGGCTTAAACTGAAATTAGAAAATGCCAAATTTAGACATAAATCTGAAAATAAAAGGATTTTAAAGTCTAAAACAACCAAGGGGAACGTTTACATTTCAAATTTAATTGTTTTTTCACATAATAATCAAACTGACATGGTTCTAAAAGTCTTTGAATTTGATGTAGTCGTTATTGTTGTAAGGGTGGAAAAGTTTGGAAATAGGGTCAAAATAGCACATTTCGCTTCCATTTGAGGGGAAAACGAGCCTGGTGACCCCCTTTTTTCTTTTCATTTTTGGATTCAGCATAAAAAAATCTACAAAATATGTGAAAATAAAAAAATTCTACCGGGGGTCCTTATTGGGGTGAGCCACCTTAACTTAACAATAAATATCGTTGAATCTTTTCTATACCGGCGGACGACGAGTGCTAAGTGAAATTTCTAAGTGAGGTGAAGTGCATTGACAAAATAATGATTTGTTGAGGTTGAATGATAATGATACAGCAGCTTGAATTCTTAGAAGACCCCGTAAGACCCTCAAAAGGAACAACAAGTGGCTTTATTGTGACGTCTTTATCAGTACAATGACGTCAACACAAATCTGACGTGTACACAACGGACCCTTCATTTCGCTTCGACGTTGAGAAGACAGGAAAGAAAGTTTAGGACGATGCTGCTGTATTGATATTTTTTTCAAACATGAAAAGTAAGTCACCTGAAACATTCGTTTCACCAAAAACAAGAAGATCTGGCATAAGAAAATCTCCACGTTTTTCAGAATTTGAGAATGTTATAGAAAAGACTGAAGATCCGAAAAACAATGAAAAGGTTAGCAGCTACAATATTACGTCAAATGAACCAAATAAAAAATTTTTACATGACAACCCATTCGATAATAACCCATATGCAACAGAAGAACCTATTGATAAATGTACAGCAAATTTCAACCATGACAACAAAATACATCGCAATATCAAGGCTGATATTGATAAAATACCATCGCCAAGACAAACAGTAAGGCGTAAAATATCATTCGATGGTTCAGAAAATCTAGGAACAGTTCGAGATAGTGAATTGATTTCAGATGAAATAAATGAGGCAGAAATACCAAGACGAAAAAAGTTACGCAGCGAAATGACAGATGATGAATTATGGGAGGGGTTTCCACAAAATATTCGGTTTAAAAGACTTACACCACAAAAATGTGCGCTTGGTAAAATCACAGCTGAACAAAACGGAACCGCAACAACCAATAATGAAGCCGATAGTATAAAGATATCAGAAACGGTCGATAATATTGTGATCAAATCGGGCCTAAAAACATCAGCGACAGAATGGTCACCAGTGAAATCTAGAGCAATTGTTAATGTATTTGCTGATTTTCCTAAAGTGGTCCATGAAAATAACACGTGTTCTTTAAAGAATCTTAACCTCAATTCGAGTCCAAAACGACACTTCCCATTTACTACACCCACTAAAAGAAGCGCCAGATTACAAGAACGTCGAAAGAGTCCATCATTGCAGAACGACGAAGACTTTGCTTTGAAATATTTGACGAAAGACGACTTGTACAATGGTATTAATCAAACAGAACAAAAAAACAAACTTTATCCCAAAAAGCAGGTTCTAGAAGCTAATAATGAAGATGCAATTTTTAATCCTGATTTACAAAATACAAACGATAATGAAGCAATGAAAATACTTTATAGAGATGTTATTTCAAAGGAACACCAAGAAAATAACTGTGAAATCGATACCATGAATAACAAAATTGTTGAATTTGAGACAGAGAGCGTTTTATTACCTGAAATATTGCAGCAGTCTAAAGAGTACTGGAATACGGAAAAAGAAAACATTGGACATAACTTAGATACATCTGTTAGCAGTATTGACAGTATTGAGGAAGTAAACAATGAGGCATATCTAGAAACAGAAACAGAGACTAGTTTCTGTTTTCCACAAGACAATAATGAAAATACAAACAGCAAAGCTGACGATGACACGAAGTCTTCAATAAACCCCCGACCAGTAATAGTTGCTTCTTCACATATTTTACAAGACAAATATCCGGACAAAAAAGAAACGCTACAAATTTCAGTACAGTCTTCGTGTGAAGCTGTAAGTACAGACAATCCTGGTGTACCATCGTGTGAGAGATCTGCACTAAAATTGAGAATCAGGAAACTAAATGACAGGGCTGAGGTTATATGTTCCGGTAACAAAGACGATCATGCATATGTACTGAATACAACAAGGAACAATAAAGGCAGGAACACATCACATAAAAATGAAGCAAGGTCAAAACGGAAGAGGTTCTTATATAGCGATGGAGAATCATCTGTGAAGAGAAGAAGTCATAGAGTAGCCAATGCTTCTACAGTTGGAAAAGGTCCCGGTATGGCAGAAATCGAAACACCAGAGGAATTGGAAAGGTATTGTCAAAATAACAGTGCTTTGAATACTTATAAAAATAAGAAGATGTGGTATGATTGCCAATGAGACAACTCTACACAAGAGACATTGACATTGCCATTGAATCATAATTTGCAAGAATAGTGTATAGAATGGATTTAGGTATAAAGATTCCTACTGTATTCTATTTTACTATTATTTTATTATTCTATAATTCATTTCTTCTATGAAAATATTGGACTTTCTTAGCAGAAATAAAGTTTGGATGATCCCTGAAATAAAAAAAACAAATTTATTTCGTGTCGACTGGGCGATAAACATAAACTATGGAGGCAACTCTTGTTTCTGAACTACCAATTTTCATTTTTTCTTCTTTGAACCTACAAATGTTTCTATGAACTTAAACATAAATTAACTTTTTTAGATTTTGCATTTCACAAATGTCAAAAAGTCCAATTAAATCAAATCTGTATTGTTAATATTCATCATTGTATTCAACTATTGTATAATTTCATTGAGTATTTTTCCACATGACAAACATTTTTTCAACCTAGTATATATTTCGTTTTGTCTTCATAATATATTAAAGAATAAATAGAGATTTTTTGTATGGGTACGTCAATGAACAGCAACCCCCAAAAAAAACCCGAAACCCATCTAGTGGGCACATATAGATACGGTCGTCAACCAAAGACAAGTGTCAATACAATAAAACTCAAATCGCTCCAACTAATCAAAAGAAAATAGTAAATAAATTTCATAGTCTATGAAAGATCTGCCATTTACACCAATTCCCAAAATGGAAAACAACAAAAACATTGAGATGTGACAGAAGACAATCACTACTTGGATTCCTGACTTGTGACAATATTGTACGTGACTCATTCGTTCTTTTTTAATTTTTTAATAAATAACAATACTGTTTTTCAGAACAAAGACTGAACAGTGTAGCCCGTTAACAAAACAAGAGAAAACGAAGAAAAAGAACGTTCCAGAAGATGAACAATTATTGAAAAATAATCGAGTAGGAAAATACGCATGTATACTGTGGTCCAGGTTGGTATTAACTCTTAAAAGACTTGAAATGGTAGTAAGACTCGATATGCGAAAGTCTCCATTGGTTATCAATGTTCTAAATTTTAGGAAAAGGTACTTTCTATAGTAAAGCGCTGCGCAGAAATTTACTTACGCGTTCAAATGTAATGTTATACATGAACTTCTAAAATTTGCACTATAACAACAAATGATCCGCGGTTTGTTCTTCACAAAAGTTTTGGTGAAAAACGACTGATGATCTAGGTCTATCAGAGATATTTACAGAGATGTATTTAGGCTCGTGCGTCGACGAACAGCGAAGTCAGTTGGCTCGGTAAATTAGTCTGAATTACAGGACTCATTAAACAAGACAACTTAAACGTTCATTGTGTGTATGTCCTTCATTTACAGAAAGTGCCTATAAACAAAGCGTTGACATTTTAACCAGATTGTAATGTAATTCATTTTCAGTGAACATAGACGTCATTTTCAGCAGCTTCACACTGGTTCGTCTACAGAAGAGGTTGACAATTTGATGCGTAAAGCTTGGGAAGATCTTGAAGATCGAGACAAATTACGATACTTCACAAGGGCCAAAAACGCCATGAAAGATGAAAATAAACACTCAACTCAAACTGCAGCAGGTATATTGCATAATATGTACACAGAGCATGGCCGTAAGTATTCCGGCGTCACCAACAACTGTTTGCTATATATTTCATATAAAAACACAATTTCGAAAAATATTATTTTGAATGCATTTATGGTTTGATTCGCTGATCTTGTCTTTGACTTTTTGAAAGATATTCGAAATCCTCTGGTTTTATCAATGTTGTGCCATAAACAATTTTACTGCTAGCCCCTTCTTTCATAATTTCATTGCATATATAGTTTAAAACGCCATTTTTGAAAATCGCATAAAATCATAGTTTTTTTAAAAAAAAGGTGCCAATTTTAAATGTTTGAAAAATCTAGAGAGAATCATTTCCCATCATATTTTTAATGACTTTAATCTCAAAAACAAATGACTCGGACCTTCCATTTTTTCTGCTTTTAAATTTTTAGTTCCGTTATTTATGTACTCTCAATCTATAACAGTCTTTTAAAAAGCGTGTTATTTTTGAAACAGTTCAGTTGAAAGTCGCAGAATTGTCTGAAGTATATTTGTTTGTTTTGTAAAAGTTTTGGATCTGTTCAATTGTAAATTTTTTAACCTGATGTGAACATGTATGTTAATTGTTTATTATTTAGTTTGGTTGACATACACACGTGTTACTTACAGCAGAGACGCATGTATGTTTCTGGTTCCAGTGTAAGGCAAATGCCAAAAGAAATAACCAAATTGAAAAAATAAAAAAATAAACCTGTGACAGTTCTGCTTCTATTGGTACCAAGTTGATTAAAATTCAGCCAGAAATGATCCCATAATATTTTTTTTTAAGATAAAAGTATATGAAACATATAGCAAAAAAATGTATCTGACGGGCGAATATTTTTGGCCATGAACTTTACATGGACAACATAGGGACTGAACCACTTAAATTCGTGATCTTTTTTTGGAAATTCACATCACTTCACATGCTGAATTGATTTCCTAAATTTCGTCCATATTTGCAAGATCCAAATGTCTCCTACATGTATTAATGATTTTTATTTAAACCATTTGTCTTATATCAAGCTTGTAGTCAAATGGACTTAAATTAATAATAACAATTCAAAAGCAGACAAACTGAATATTTTCTGGTTTTGGCTCCATAAGTTCTTCCTTCAGAATCCGTGCTTATGCAAAAACGTCTGAATTTGAACTATATAGAAGTGAAGCTAAATTTTGAACATTTCAGGCTTGTTGTTCCCGTGTTTTGCCCTAAAAGGCTAAATTTTGAGGCGAAGTATACGTTATTACACGCCTCTAGCGGAATGGGATAATAAATAATGCGTCGTTTGTTATGCGGGTTATCTCCCTTATTCCAAGAAAGATAAAAAGGGCACACAACCGAGAATTGCCTTCGTGCGGTTTATCATGAGTGAAACAATACACCTGTTCTGTCTCAAAACTTTAACAACATGTTTAAAAAAAAATTCAGATCGACTCCAATCAGAAATCTGACTATCCGATTGTTAGTGAACATCACCCTGTTACCGCTGTTACCGTTTCAGACACGCCGGAGAGGGTACAAAATAAAACTTTTATAACAGAAAATGAATGAAAAGGCTTCACAACAAAAATATAACCAAATAAACAAATAACCTGTGACAATTCTGCTTAGATCTATTGGTACAATTTTGTTGAAATCCAGCTAGAAATTATCTCACAATATTTTTTTAAAAACCGTAGTTTCATACAGTAGCATAAAATTGTAGGTGACGAATACTTAAATGACATGATCGCATTGTGAATTTGTGTTGTGATCTATAAAGTTTCAAACAAAGACGTTGACATGATTGCCAATGAGACAACTCTCCAATAGAGACCAAATGACATAGAAGTTAACAACTATAGATCACCGTAAACAATGAGCAAAACCCATAACGCATAGTCAGCTATTATAAAAGGCCCGAAACGACAAAATGTAAACATTCAAACCTTAAAACTAACGGCCTGATTTATGTACAAAATAATGAACTAAAAACAAATATGATATACAACAAACGACAACGATTAAGTATATATTGCAATTGAAAATTTTAGCACATGTCTCCATTTTTTATAAAAAGTAAGAAGATACCAAGAGAGTTACCGCACATTAGTAGTACAACATTTACATGTCGAAGAACAAAGACGACGAAAAAAGAAATTAGAGCCAGTACACAAAACACTAACCAGAATCTTAAAATTCGGCACGAATATGATCGCATTTCTTAATTGTGATTTGTGTATCTTTCAGAAGAAGTGAATGAAAGTTTGAAGTCGAATCTTGTTCCTCAAGTCTCACTCTAAGATGATGACTAAATAGAATTTCATATGGTGGCCGGATAAGGCCATTTCGCGTGTTCTCCTTTCATATTCTGTAGGGCGAAAAACGCGAAATGGCTTAACTTCTCATTTTCGCGATTTCGCGATTGTCAATTACTGTCCACTTCTTTTGGTCATTTCGTATATTTGATCTGATTGGATAATAATTTTGATGATAACCTGACTGGATAGTATTATTTAAGTGTTTACGAATGTAAACTATTTGGTAGTGATAACGGGTAGCACTTGCTGTTTTTTTTTTTTATTTCATTACAGTTTCAGGAAAATAATCTGACACCTGTTTATTGCAATTTTACCCCTTCAAGGCAAATGGAGAGTATGTCATTCGATTTTTGCGAAATGATAGATGAAATGGGTTTAGACTCTTACATTTTTAAAGCTATTCAAAGAGATTTTATCTCTTTAATTTAAAAACCAATTTTGTCCAATTTTCATAGATTCTGCAGCTATACTACAAAATTCAACATACTCTTCTCTATCCCGATGATACTATCATCGGGATCAAAAGGAGTATGGCTAGGAAGACCTTAAATTGGCACTAAAAATAAAACTTTGTAATATCATATTTAAAGACTAAACTTTATTACAAAGATTTTAAATATGCAATTGTAGAAAAACAAAATACCTTTGTTGTCTGTTGTTCGTTTTAACAATGTAGGCAGCTTCAAAAGTATATGTTAACTAGTGGCCAAATTGTCTGTATGTATGCATTTGTATGGTATATATCCTTCGACCAAAAGGACTTTTTTTACAAAAAGATGTATATACAATATGGGTCAGATACACATTATAACAAAATTTTTGTGATCCTTGTATGATTTGTACTCGTCAGGTATTTTTATTTCTAAAATTAATTTTCACGGAATTTAAGTGCCAATATGGTCCTGAACCTACTCTTTTTAAAACAAGCATTATATTAAATGTAATCTCTTTTCATTATCTGAAAACACAATTATTATCGCACTGCACTAGGTAAACTCTTACAGCATTACATTATGAAAAGTATCCTAGAATTACGCTAGTTACATTCGTACAGCATACTGAGTACATTCTAATTGCATTGCACTAGGTATATTTATAGCATTACACTAGGTATATTTATAGCATTACACTATACACAATGTTATAGCATTACCCTATACGCAATGTTATAGCATTACACTATACACAATGTTATAGCATTACACTATATATAATGTTATAGCATTACGCTAAACACAATTTTATAGCATTAAACTATACACAATGTTATAGCATTGTACTATAGGCAATGTTATAGCATTGCACTATATACAATGTTATAGCATTGCACTATACACAATGTTATAGCATTACACTGTATACAATGTTATAACATTTCACTATACACAATGTTACACCATTACACTATATACAATGTCATAGTATTACACTATACCATATGTTATAGCATTACACTATATACAATGATAATTCTTATATGATTTGCATATCTACAGATACTTAAATTTGATTGGTCCGTTAGCATTTTTTCCCTTGGTTTACACTTCGATAGACCATGTTGCCGAAACTATTTTCGTAACCTTCATTGTGATCTATTCATGCGCGATACAGATGCATGGGAACAAAGGGTTCAAGCAAATGGAGTTTGAAAAAAACCAAATACATAACTGTTATTTCTATTTTAGTGAATAATAAAAAGAAATGATACATTAAAGCTTGGAAAATGTATAAATTTACAACAAAATAAAATTCCGCGAAATTTCATGAATGAGCTTGCCGTATTAACGTCATGGGAAACTTGACGTCATACGAATGAAAACTCTCAAGATGAAGCCATTCAGTTACTTGTACGCTTCAAATTTAAATAATATCTCATTAAAATGAAGTTTTTGAGGTATGTGTTATTTCATTTTAGATTCTATTGCATTAATCGAACATTAATGGATTTCAGAAAGTCAATATGGCGGCTTACTCCTTAGTTACGAAATGTCAATTGTGCATTTGATGATAAATAGTAGCCAATGTACCTAAAATTGTTAATTAAAAATTGCAAATGTTTGAGTTGAGAATTATAAGGATTAAACACATTTTTTCTAGCGGTTATTGATGTGTAAACTGGGCCGCTGACTCACAAACTTTACATAAATGTCCTTCGGACTTTTATTCAGTTTGTGAGTTAATCGCCCCAGTTTACACATCAATAACCTCTAGAAAAAATGTGTTTAATCCTATAATATAGCATTACACTAGGAACGTCTTGTAGTAAATGCACTGGATATGTCTATCTTTTAGTATTACATTAGGTGCATTTTTTTGTCTTGAATATGCATAAAATAGGTTCCACGGGAAGTTAAATCAAAAAACTTCGATCTGTTCTTTTTTGTTAAAATGTATAGGGGGGGGGGGGGGGGGGTCTACTTTTGACCTTTTACAGACATGAACATGTTCTGAATAATATGAACTGGATACTGAAAAAATAATGCATTAATGGTTCAAGAAATATATTCTTTTGTTTCTGCAACTCCGTTCAGCCAGTAAACATTATACACGTGTTTTGTAATGTAACTGAAGAAAAGAGCAAGCAATCGAGACAGGAAATTTTGTGAAATGAAATTGCAGAATTGTGTTACGTGCATGTGTGCGAATTAGATATTTCGTATTTATAGCAGCGGAAATGGTGAGGATGAAAATATGCTGAAAATGAGGCTTACTTTTTTGTGAATTGATAAATACAAACACGCAGAAATAAAATTTTAAAAAGACGTGTGCATTGGACCCCAATATTATAATCTTTCAAAATGTATAGATTAATCATTCTGATGACGAAATCAAACACGATCAGTAACTTTTGATATTGGATTCGTAAAAATCAGGACAATACAAGCATTACAAAAAAGGCGTGGACAACTGTTCAATTTAGATAAGATGGAAGTATACTATATATTACTAATAGAATAACTAATCGAAGAATTCAAATAGAGAAAAATATTCAACGAGTGACCGAACAACACATTAACGAGTTCTGTGCCACAGGGCCGATTATCGGCCCAAAGTCATACTCCTGTCAGTGCCAAAGGGCCGATGAATTGAAATAATGTTATGAACTACGTAATGTACTATGACGTCGCCGTTTTTGCGCTAAATTTAATTCCTCCATCTTGTAATTTTCGCGCGCTTTTTTACCAATATTAAAAAATATGGTTTATGAAATTTATAAAAATAAAATTATGTAAGGATCCTTTTATAAATATTATAGAATAATAGATATATAATAATTTTATTATATTTAAAAGTATAGAATCTAAAATTTACTTTCTTTTTTTCGGCGCTTTTGCAGTATATTTTATATATGCATTTTAGGCTTACTTTCCTGAAATTTTCAAGGGTTTATTTCAAAAAATGTATCATAGTAAAAAGAATAAAAGTAAAAATGTAAATACATAAAATATAGAAGATAGTAATTATTAAAATAAGAACAAAATACCTTTACAAAGAACGGGTGAGAAAAACGCAAGTAAAAATTTAAAAAAAAAACCTCAAAAACGTGAAAAGATGAAAAGTACGCCAAAAAGTGCAGTGCACATTAATGACGTAATTGAGCTAATGACGTCATCCATTAATGTATCCACCGGATTATGGCTTATCCTAACCCTTGGTTTCGTGTTTATCCTCCGGCCGAAGTTAGGGATCACACACAATTTTAGAAATGTAGGACATAAAAGAATGCTGCCGAGAAATGCCAGACCCATTGCCTATTTCATGCTGATTTTCAACAATTCATTCAATGAAGAAGTTTGTCTTGAAAACAAACAGGTAGTTTTAAGCCCATGTTCCTTTAAAAAAAAACACCAGTGAATTTTTATGCATGGAATAAATTTTAATGAAAAAACTTTACTGCGTTCAAATTTTTGAGACTATATTTATATATACGGCATACGTTAGGAAAGGCCAAACAGTTAAACAGAAATAATAAATCAAGGGGTTGAATACAAGAGATACAAATAATCTATCTTCGATCGGTTCATGTGTTTACTCATTTATTATTTTGTCCCTTCTCTCAACGTATTATCCCTCCATACTAGTCTTTATAAAAAAAAAAGAAAGAAAGAAAAAAAAAAGCGCACACAATCCTCAGAACTTTGTGAACAATTATAAAACTTTAAATTACAATTACAGTGAATAATTATTGTACGCCTGTCCAGAATTAAGAACACGAACACATTATTTTTCATATTAAGGTACGATCCCGGGGGGGGGGGTTACTGACTATCCTTTCGGGTATAACTGTGCCGACAGCACTTGCCAAATCATACCCTGTTATAACCAGAAAACATTGAAAAACATATCCAGTTCTAAACAGAAATATTGAAAATATACCCTGTTCTAGACACGCTCAGAAAATGTATACCCTGTTCTAGACACGCTCAGAAATATGCACCGGGAATGATCCTGTTCTAGACCGTATAAAATAGATGCTGTTCTAGACCCGGGTTCTAGACGGTATCTTAAACAGTCAAATAAGCGATCCTGTTCTAGACAAATCCTTTGTTTAAAAAAGACCATGTTCTCACCAGCAGGGCATGAAAAAGCGACCCTGTTCTAACCAGCAGGACATGAAAAAGGGACCCTGTTCTAACCAGCAGGGCATGAAAAAGTGACCCTGTTTTGCAGCACACTCGTACCACTAAAAATATAGGAAGTAACACCCCCGGGGGTACGATAGAAGTTTTATATTAAGAGAACTCTCACAATGTTAGATCTCGCCTCCATTTTATACAATTATTAATTGATGACATTTTCCGAATTTTCCGAAGATCATTTGACAAGAAATCGTGCCTCTCTTGGGGTCTTGAATGATGAAAGAAATAACCAACATTTGAGAAAATTGCCTGGTCGAAACTGAAGAAAGAGATTGTTCTGTATATTCTGTACGATATGTCCCTGGTGGCAGGAAAAGGTCGAAACATATATAATTATATGTGTTCTCTGTCGTAAAGTTGTTCATAAAACATGTTATAAGAAACACAGCAGACGATGTAACACTGATGAATAAAAAATCTTTCTTGATAAATGATTATATGATATGAATCTTGACTTTTGTATCCCAAGCTCATGTAATGAAATTATTCATAAAGAATAATCACAAACTTTCTTTTATAAGTAGTGATAACTTAATTTGAAATAGTTCTTTTTCATATTACGGACTTTTGACTCAGTCTGAAGTATATGATTTTTAGACAGGTTACCTTCTCTGTGGTAGGACATTTCTGGTCTCTATTCAAGTAAGAGCAACTGAAAGAAGTAGGGTCATGCTTACAATCAGTGAAATTAGTTTGTCATGTATAGAAAACATAAATCAGTTTATCCATCCCCCCCCCCCCCCCCCCCCCCTCTCCAAAAAAAAAAAGTTTTACCAATTGTAAGCTTGATTTTACTTTATCTAGTTGCTCTTACTCGAACGGGGACCAGAATATCTTTCAACAGAGTAGGTAACCTGTCTAAATATTATTAACTTCGGAGTCAAAAGTCGGTAATATGAAAATAAACTATTAAAAGGTTGAATTCCCGCCAATTTTCAGTTAAAATCTTTTGGCGCTATCAAACCTGTACTATGACGTCGACGTTATTTGCGTAATCGTAAAGACAATAAAAAAAGCCTTGGCATTGAAGGGGTTTTGTTTACAATACACCTTATCGCTATTCCCGCTTGACCCGAGAATCTGTCCCGCTCGAACTTTTGACGTCATACAATAATCACTTTTCCATTGTGGCGTCAGATATTTTCTATTATGACGTCAAAATTTTACGGGAACTTGTGTGATGTCCAGTAATGGCGGATAAATAGCGATAAGGTGTATTTGTTTGGCAGCGAAAGGGTTAATTCACGAATGCGCGTAGCGCATGAGTTAATTATCAGTGTTGTTCGGTCACGAGTTGAATATTTTTCGATATTTGAATTCTTTTTTGGTTATTCTTTTTATTACATTGGCAATGGGATTCACAATTTGTTTTGATCCGACGTTATGGACGTCTTGACAACGCCTATTGTTGTATGACGTCAGAGAGTGAAATAACCACGTTTATTTCACATGTGAAATTATCGGTTTTTATTTGACTGGGAAATCAATGTAATTCAATGCTACCAATGTAATAATATTATATGATAGATATTGCCATTTGAAAGCCGACAGTAACTTTCTTTCATTTGCAGTACAAATATTCTGCGCATTTGCATTTTTTTGGCCGCTAAAATATCCGTGAAAATTATTCAGTCTATCTTATCAATTGAATACTCTTTAGCATCTGCAATAATTTATAGCAAAATGGCTGGTACACACACACAATTTGCAAACGGCATGGCACAACAGTGCAATAGCGTTACTTATATAAAGCGTAGACATTGTGACGACGTCACTGTAGACATCAATAACGTTGCCGAATATTTTTCATTTTTTTTTCTCTAAACAAAAAATTAAACTTTCAAAAGATCTAGTGATATATAGTACAAGGCCAACTTGTGTTTTTTCACTAAACATTTCATATAAAACTACGTTTTTAAAAAAAAATATTGTGGGGACATTTCTGGTTGGATTTTAATCAACTGGTACCAATAGAAGCAGAATTATCACAGTCTCATTTGTTTATTTGGTTATATTTTTATTGTGGCGCGTTTTCAATTTCTGATGATTTAAACACAAGTATTATTCTATGTTCATAAATTTGTTATATATTTCAACCAAATTAAATTGTAAAAAATGATCATACATGTTCATATTTTGAATCAAAAATAATTGATGACAAAACTATGACCAAATAGACATAGATACTTTAGACAATTCTGCGCCTTTTAACACCGGTTTTATATGAAATATATATAAAAAAAAAAAAAGAAAGGTGACGTATAAATTGTGCCATGCACAGTAGCTTGAAAATAAGCACATGTGCTAAGGACTTTGTTGGCACCATTTTTGAATCATACATCGAAAAAAAAATACTGTGCACTAATAAATTAAAAAAATATTAAGAATGTAAAAATACCTGCCTATTTTCATGATTTTCCCTATATATTTTTTGTATTTTTTTGGCATATCATGCTCTTGATTTCAACAGCTCTTATCTCAAAAACAAAAACGGTTACCTTCAATTTTAATGTCATTATCTGGTTTATTTTAAAAGCAAAAAATCAAAATTCATATATGTGAAATTCAAGAAATATTTGTGGAGAAGTTAATTACAGACACTTCGTCTCGACTTATGATATTATGCTTTAACAAAATCATTAGAATTTCTCACATAATTTTATGAGTTTGAATTTTACATGATATTCGTCTTAAATTTCTCGGTGTGCTGAACTCAGTCATTGGTTTAGGGCAGTTGTATTTTTGGATATTTTTTTCGTTCTTTTTTTGAACTATATTTTACTTTACATATCTTAATACAAGTCTGAAATCAATTTTACATAATTTTATTATTTTCCCTCATATAGACATAGCAGAAGAAGATAAACTTTCTTGTCCAGCTATGACAAGGTTTCTGTCCCTGTCATCCTTAGAACAAGACGACGAACTAAAACGTTGGCTGAAATTCTTTTATGAAGTTTCGCCAAATGAATATGCAAAATTAAAAACTTTGGAAAAACCAAAACAGAGGAAAGAGGAACTTAAGTCAAAACAAAATAAAGACCCACTTCAGTATTACAGGAGGATTTTATATCAGAGCATTTTAGACTCAAAAGACAAAATTAAAGAGATATATGAACGCAAAAGGCAAAGACAACAAGAAATTGTAAAAGAATCATTTGGAGCTATTGTAAAGCAACTCATTACAGGAAATTCAGCAGACGACATGAAATTTTCACGAGATGTAGTTTCCAAAAAATTGGCAGAAGTTCTTTTTGATTTGCAATATCTTGAGAAAGAACGGAGAGTTGGTGTCTCTGGTGCTCCAGTCCAATCAGAAAGCTTTGAAAACTTGGTAAATAATTTGAAAGCAGATGATAGGACAGATAACAGTACAATATGTGAACCGGTACTAGACGCAGATAAAGGTTATGAAAACGAGAAATGTGACGTTATTAATTTAGACGAGGTGAATGACAATGAAAACGTTTTTTTACAGGAATTACTTGATAAGGTGAATAGTATTTATATCATATATGTTTGTATAAATGAACTTTACATGATTGAGGAAATAAGCAAAGTTCTGTTTCTTAAGGGAGCTACCATTGGATTTTTATGGGGGGGGGGGGGGGGGGGGGGGTTGGCTAGGATGAAAAATTTTGTCCAGCCTATTTATTTTTCCCTCTATTCGGTCCTGCCTTTTTATTTTTCACTCTATTCCGTCCTGCCTTTTTTTTTAGTTTATCCTGACTTTTTTTTTTACATAAATTGTCATCCTGCCTATTTTTTTTGCAAATAATCTCATCCTGCCTTTTTTTTTTACTCAAAACTCCTGTCCTGCCTATTTTTTTCAAATTTCATCCTAGCCCCCCATAAAAATTAAATGGTAGCTTCCTAATACAGATTAGTTTTACAAAAGTAAGGAGATATGATTACCAATGAGACAACTACCCCAACTATTGCAATCAGCTTGTCCACTCGTCCATCAAATACTGTCCTCGCACTTTGTTTGAAAATAAACAGAATAACTTCATATTATTTAGTTATCAGCTTGACAGTGATTAGTTGTAACGTATGAACTCTTTCCGGATTTGTTAGATACCTACAGTGGAATGACATAAGTATTTGTCATTTGCGACTTTTCGCTTTTAATTTCATATAATACTACATTAATAAAAAAAAGATATTGTGGGGTGATTTCTTTTCGGATTTTTATCAACTTGATACTACCAGAAGGAGAATTGTCACATGTTGAATTGGTTATTTGATTCTAAATTTACCTTTGCAGTCTTCACGATAAACTTTTGAATCCACAAGCCCGAAGCTCAATTTTACGAAAATTTTAGATGTATTATGTTGGCTTGTAGAGAAGAATTTTACCAGCCTGAAAGCAATTTTACAAGCCTGGGCTTGTGGACTTGTGGTTTAGCGTGAAGACTGCATTGTCATATTTGATGATTTAAAACAAAACAACTGAAGACAAAAACATCAACAACTAAACAAATGAAATTAAGATAATTCTGCATTTTTCTAAGCCTGGTTTGTAAAAATCAAAACACAAACACTTTTAAAATAATTTTGTGATAAAATCTGTGATTTTATAAATGTATAGGGGGAAATAAAGGTAAGGTGACGAATACTTATTTTATGCACAGTACTTCCTATCAGCCGATACTTTGAATTTTTCAATATGTTCAATTAAATCAAAAATTATCGTCACATATTTCTCAAACACCTCTATAAAATAAAAGGACTTCAAGTTGGTTAGCAACTCAACAGTGATAAGTTGTAATGTGTGTTCGTTTTTGGATCTGTAGGACATTACTTCCTTTTTTTCAATACTTTGAAAACGAGTTGGGATATGCTTTATAGGACCACAACGCATGAATTCTTGTTTGAACAATTATCATCAATATTTGATAAAGACTAGGAGCCAGAGAGAATCGAAATTATTATTTGTATTTATAATACTAGTATTCATTATGTTGGTTTTAAATGCATTAGGATATATTTTGAAAATGTCACTTTGTCAATGGTTAGAAAGTCAGCTACAGATGTGTAAATGATGGTTGTTTTTTTTTTCGCAATATCAAATATCAAGACGAGTTCTTATCTTTATTTCCAGATTGTCGATAAAGATTTGCCCCTTTTGGAAGTAGATTCTCTACAGGAAGTTTTAGAACCAAGTAAGACTGAAACAGATGACGAGCAGATGTTTTCAGCGGAAATATTCGAACAATTGTCTTCAATATTTGAACAACACGCAAAGAAAGAAGTGATTATAAACGACGAGAAACCCGAAATACGTAACCCTGCAAGCATTCTCAACAACTGGGTTTTGGCTGATCAGTTTAGGTCACTGGCTAGAGGCACAAATTATAATTCTATGTACTCTCTTATAGACAGAAAACATTTGTTACCATTCCTTCATGCAAGAGAGAGGACAAAGTGTTACATGGGCGTAAATAAGCCACAAAACATTTCACCTAACTCCTCAAAACCAAAAGCTGAACGCGAACGGTATCAGGCTAAAATTGATCGGTTAAATTTTCAGAAACCAACAGTTATACATACTCGTCCTACCCCAGCTATACACATGGTTGGGACTCCGAGATATAGACTACAAGTTCCACAGGTTAGACCGGCGATTCAAATGGCATCACCACACAGTCTTATACGTCGGGCACCACTTGGCCAAACATTCGTCAAATTCACCTCCCAACCTCTTGGTCGTTATCGTGTCTTCTCTGTTAGGCAAACTAAGGGTAATTGATGACTGCTATGATTGATGGACAACTAACTATTCATAAAACAAACTTGAGCATTAGAAGATTGAAATTCTATCTCCAGTGTCTTTCTTAACCGATAATCTGTGATATATATCTCTATTTCTATTTTAAATATTCGTATCTACATTGTTAAGAATTAACATATATATTGAACTGTTATATCGTATTGAATTAGTTTCCAGGAAAACTTATTCGCTTTAAGACCTCTATTCTTTGCATGGCAGTGCATTGCATTTCTGTGGAAAAATTGCATTTCGCTTTATTTGCTAGATTATGTAAAGATGGATGTCAGAAGAAGGATCTCATGAAAAATATACCGTGCTCTGTAAGATTAAACAAATGGAGGGAGACAATATTTATTTTTATATTTGTATGGAGTTGCCTTCGGTTATGTGACATTTAAATCTGATACATTCTAGACAATGTCTTTGTCACAAAGCATATTACATTTTGGTTTTGGGCGCCTTTATTTTTTTGTTGCTATATTGTAATACAGTTTTTCTAGAATTCGTTATATATTGGTAAAAATAAGATGTCACGATTTGGAGATTGGATATATACATAAAGATGTTTTACGTCTACAAGTCGACGAATGATAATTAATATGAAATAAAACATTCTGAAACACATTGGTAAAACGTAACAGGATGACGTTTGCTCACGGTTTATGTTTTGAAACTTCCTTAACCTTAAAATTTTCGAAAGTCAAAAATTGTATATAATAATATCTTTACTAGCTGTTGTACCATGTGTGTAAAAGAACTGAACCTTGTCCCCAAAAAAAACCCAACAATATTATCAAGAAAATAAAAATTGAATTGTGACAGTAGTATCTTTTGAACTGAAACATGCTAATGTCACTTTTTCATACTTATGCTAGTTGGTATATAGTATAAATACAAATCACATGTAGTAGAGCCTATCCTTACCTTTTTTATGCCCATCGCTGCATATGGTATAAAGTTTAAAGCCAGTTCGTCCATCTGTCTTAACTTTGTTGTTATAATTATAGGGTCCTCATTTAAGTCTGATTCAAATTAAAAAATGAATTTTTACTGATATATGACAGTATTTGTTATTTTTACTTTTATATTATTTATGACAGTTTGTTATATAGTTTCCTTGCTAGATGTAATTCATAATTTGTTGATATTACCGCGCAGCTGTGTTCTTTGACATATGCACAGATGCATTGCGACTGAAATTCTGTCAAAGGATTATGCTTTCACCGATCCTAAGGTCGTCTTTAATTTGCAGTTAGATGGCGTTTTTACTGCGTATTGAAGGCCTGGACCTTAAAATGAAGAACAGCAATAAAAGCACCATTCCCTTTATTATTGGTTTTCCATGATTTTGTGTCATAAATTGATACACCATATGCTTTATTGACTACTATTTGTATTTGGAGGACAAAGGACATGTTTTACGTTAAATTAAGGGCACTTAACTATGATAAAAAAAAGTCATAAAAAATCGATGTTTAAAAAATATGCTCCCATCTGAGGGCGTCAGATAGCACTTGTTGACTTTCGTTGCCATGTGTTAGATTTCTTTTCATTTGGTAGTGGTGTTTTATTTGCTCCTATTTGTTGAACGTAAATTTCTCAGTATGTTCTGCCTATCTTTATTTTCAGTGATGTTTTTGATTTAAGAGATAGTATTGTTTTCATTGGTGAGGGACTTTTGCAACAGCGATTATAGTGAACGTTGTGTCTTATTTTAGGGCAAATGTCTGTTCGTTTGTTGGTGTTTAAGTGAGACAGGTCATATTTATATGTTTCGATAGTTGTTCTGCATTGGGTTCTGTAACGTTTGCTTTGAGCATCTTAACAGATGATGACTTGCTTTACTCACTATATGACAGTGCAGAATGAAATTTACCCCGAAGTACATCCGCCGATATTAGAGTATAATGGCATGAGTTCAAATCAACAGATTACTTTGGGCTTGCTTTCGGTAACTTTGAACATATGACGTTGATGGCAGATCTTTGGTAGTCTCCTTTTAATTTGATCGTAAGTGTTCTGGACTTGGGTAATGACGAGTTTGATAAATTGTATCGACAATTGTCTTTTGTTGAAGACTATCTGTTGACCTCTAGCCCTCTACTTTTATTTTGCTGGAATTGATAGGCTAGCCAGGAAAAAAACTAAAATTCGAATACCAGCAATGAGCTAATAACATGAGAATACTTCATTAAAATGAAAATAATGATATTGAACACGGCTAATATTTCATGCATCTGATTTGTCTGATGAAATTTGTGTACAAAGTATCGTACCTTGTCTAATGCATACGGGTAAGTTGAAGTCTATACAAAAGCGTTTCGATAAAATGACCTAAATGATAACAAAAAGCTCTAAGGAGCCTACGGCTAACCAGGCCGTGAATACTTTGTTTGAAATAGATATACCGGTAGTAAGTGGCTTATTCCATAAATGAGATATTAAAAGTGGGGTATTGATGGAACATGTAATGATACTGGCTACATTAGAAAACAAACTAAATTCCTAGGACCATAAATTTGGATCCAAAATATTTTAGAGGTGAAAATTGGATACTATTAAAGTTTCCACCAAGTGTGAAGAACTTTCCGTGTGTCTTTTCTAGAAAACTGCAATTTTGCATAAATTTGCACTTTCAAGGACCATAACTTTAGAAGCAAGAATACCTTGTGCTTTTTTGCGATCGGAACCAAGTGAGGGTAGTTGGTAGAAGTCCTTCCAAACATCATTCTTGCCAAGTTTAACGCGCGTCTGACGTATAAGACTTTAATCCTGGTGTCTATGATGAGTTTTTTTTTTATTTCACATTGGCCTAGTGATTTTAGAAAAGAATATGCCTGCAAAAGGGTGATTTTCCATAGCTTCTTAGGAAAAATGTTCGAAATGCTAAGGATTTTCGACCCCAGGAATAGGTTCTTATGTAAACTGTATTTGGCAAAACTTTTGGAATGTCGGGTTCTCAATGCTCTTCAACTTCGTACTTTTTAATTTTTTTTTATTCAAGCGTCACTGATGAGGCTTTTGTAGACAAAACGCGAGTCTGGTGCACAAAATTATAATTTGATGATGTTTTTCAAAATCATAAAAAATATAACAAAACCAAACACCTTCAAATTGACTGTTAAACTGTTATTGCATTGATACCCTTTTTAAATGTATGCATGATTATTATAAAGCAACGAACTATTATATAGTGCAAAACTTATTTGAAATTGCAATACTTTCTGTATTGAAGTCAGTATGTTCTTTGATAATTTTATTTACTAGTATGTATTTTGTCATTGAGTTGAAACTTTCCTTGGATCATCATCAGATTGCTTTATGAATGGAATAATTGTTGCCTGCTCAGATTTTAAATGTTGTCATGGCAGTATGAATAATATGAATCAAAGGAGATGAATTAAAAGGGATTATTGGTTTTTGTTTATATTAGCAATCTGTACAATAAAAAGAATACTGCTGTGTTTAGCCTTGACGAGATTGCTTTGTGCACTATGTTCTCAACCTTGGCTACTATTTTCACATGGTCAATGCTGAACACAGCATACACATTATTCTATGAATGCTGGAGAGAAAAATGTCCATATATGACTTCGATCGAAAGGTATGAAGCAACCAGGTATTCTGCATTCTGAAATATTAAACTTTACACAAATAGTTTACGCCGCCATCAGAAAGTAATTCCTGTCTAGATAGCAATCACTGAATTTTGTTCCTGTGAGACAAAAATTAAAAAAAAAGGAACATATACTTTCTGCATCTACTAGCTCACCTAGCCCAAAAGGTCATGTGAGGTACAATCTAAACATTTCAAATCTTTCTTGCCAACTGAAACCAAAATTGGCAGGAATCTTCATATTTGAAGGTACATGTACTCTCCATTGCAAAGTTTAATTTTATTTTACTGTGAATCTGAATTTAAAAATTGCTGCAAGGGCCAAAATGTATACTGATTGATTAAATTGCACAGATTTTCTGATTGGCATACTGATTCAAAATATTGTAGGAGTGATCCATTGATAGTCTAATGCCAATTTTGAATTTGTTGGCAATGGCTAAATTCAAGATGACCACCACCCGTGACTTGCACCATTGAACGATTTTTCATGTAGAACTATGAGAAATACATACACATAGATTCTTGTCAGAAACTCTGTTACAGATTTAAATGAAATCTTGCACAGGTGATACTAACGTCATCATCTATCAATTTGCAGTTTTTATTGTCAAAAAGAAATGACAACCAGGGCGAAACACAATAAAACCGTATGAAAAATACGTACATACAGCTCATCTCGCTCATTAAAACCAATTCATGCACAAATGCACCTAGGGTATTCCTCTACTAATTTTGAGATTTTTTCTGAAAAAAAGTCACAACTGTGTTGCATAGTTTAATATAGAATCATGTTGGAAATCCATACAAATAGCATCTCCAAAACAGTCCTGAACATTATAACCAAATATTAAATAAATGACACTTTGAGCTTTTGCTACTAATCTGAATTCCAAGTTGGCCCTCTCTATAGCTATTGGACGCAGTTTAACAAAGAAACTTATGAGAAAAACTTAGAAAAAGATCCGAAACATTTGGTGGGAGCACCGCTATACATAAATTACCAGAGAAAAGTTTGTCAAAAATACTAACACTAATCAAAAAGTTACAATCCACACTGATCTGCAGTATCCACACCTGTACTTGTAAGAATAAGTTTGAATGCTGAACCAATAGTTGCTTACACAGTTTTGATCATCTCTTTAGTATATCCCGCCTCATTTGTAAAAAGAAAATAAGATTTATTTAGGAGACGTGGCTACTATTATATAATATGAGAGTTTGACTTTTGATGATGGTAGATCTGGCATATGTTTTATTGATGTAATATGTAAATTCAAACATATTCATTTACATATTTGAAGATTTAATATCATGCATGTAAGAATATCAAGCTTGTATTTAGAACTGAGCTCACAATTAATGCAATTATATTTAATTTTGAGATGTCTTTCTGTTGGTTTATTAATGGAAATTACATGCACACCACTTAGACCAGATATTAGCATCTCGGCATGATCTATTCCTTGGAATTTCATTGAAAAGGGATATTCCTTTTTGATGATAGATTTTCTTAAATTGTTGATTGTTGTCAAGATCAAGACGGTGTAAAAGTGTAGAATGTGTCGTAAGTCTTCTTGCATTTGTTCTTAAATTTTTAAAATAGTTACCATATTTAGTTTTGAACCACGGAGGAACATATACATACATCATTGGGAGTCTCTCCTCCAATTGGCCAATAAAGGTTGGTTTTACTAATCCAGATAGTATACCATGATCTCCGAATAGAGCGTGGAATGTGTTGTTAAGTATGCTGTTTTTTTTATAAATAGTCTTTTCAGTGTCATTGCAGTAGTTTGTCAATACTTACAGCACGAATTAAACTCTCATGATTCATTCTTACATGCATCGACGGTGTTATGGTTTTTTCCTAAAAAAAATATTCTGATCCCCAATTTGATGAAAAAAAAAAATTGTGGTCAAGCAGATGACAAAAAAATATATTCTGAATCCAGGTTTTCCCCATACCTTATAATGTTAAATTTTGAAAAAAATAATTTGATTGATAGCGTAGAAAAACTAAAAAAAAAAATTCTGTCTCAAGACAAAAAAAAATAACCCCCCCCCCTTTGAAGTTAAATGGTTGCTCCCTTAGCGCCATGAAATGGCTGATCACAATAATCTGTTTGTTGATATTTAAAGCCAGACATGTCTTTTGGGTAAAATGTGCATTCCGCATCCTGTCCATAATGAGTTGTATAGCCTAAATTTAAAAACTCATTCCAAATAAATGGACATTTATCAACTCCTTCTTTGTCTTTAAAGCATGATAGGTTTTCTAAAAAGTCTCCAGTCAACAAAGCCATATTTGGTCTTGTATTTAACGCTACTTTGTTGTATCCAAGTAGTTCAGTTGCGTCTAACTTTTCCCCAAAATACTTTCTTGTCTA